AACCATATTACATGCATTTCAGAAAGAATTAAACTGCTGTGTGTGTGTGTAAGGGTGCTTGTGTGGCATAATATTTTTTAAACCAAAATACTGAAAAAACACTTCCTTGAAAAAAAAGTTCTTTGTTCATATAAATCAGGAAAATGCCAACTACCTTACCTGCTCTTGGAAATTCACATTAGCATGTTACAGATCTGAATATTTCAGCCATAAGAAAGAATGAAATACTGCCATTTGTGATAACATGAATGGATCTTGAGAGCATCCTGTTAAGCGAAATAAGTCAGATGGAAAAAGACAAGAACCATATGATTTCATTCAGATGTGGGATATAAAACAGAAAGCAACAAGTGAACAAACAAAACAAACTCATAGACACAGAAACAGAATGGTGGTTACCAAAGGGGAAGGAGGTGGAGGGAAAAGAAAGAGGTTTAGTAAAGGGGGTTGAATTTATAGTGACGGAGGAAGACTAGACTTTGGGTGATGAGCACACCATGCAGTCTACAGGTAGATAATGTATTATAAAACTGTACAGTTGAAACTTATATAATGTTGCTAACCAGTGTCACCCAATAAATTAAAAAAAAAATGATCTGAGTATTGAACCCATTGTTTTCCAAACTTACTTGACCATAAAACTCTTCTTTCTTCTTTTTTTGCCAATATCACAAGATACTAACGTTGTAAGTAACACTCTCTAGGAAGCACAATGTAAAGAAAAAGCTTGAGTAAGATATATTTTACTCAGTGCTTTAAAATTCCCTTCCAACGTCTCATTCCAAACAACAAGATTGGTAACTTTTTTCTGAACTCGTGCTCTGGGTTGGGATGCCTAGAAGAGAGAGCCGCGGGAACTATGGGGGAAGTTGTTAGAACAAACATTGTGCTCTCTTATGCACAGATAGTTCTAATTTTTAATGCAGCTATTCAATCTCACCATTTTTAAAGATAAAATTTCTCAAAACACTTAAAATTTTGTGATAACTCTTTGGTCTCTACTTTCAGTTAAAGAATAAAATAATCTTTCAATTCAACCCCTTGCCTTTCTTTGCTTTATCAGTAGTCATTTCAGTCATTTGCCATCAGCCCTCTGATGATTTTGTTTTTTCCCCCCCAGTTGCTAAAATAAGTTAACAATTGTCAAGTACAATTGGCTCAGTGGATAGAGCGTCAGCCTGCGGACTGAAAGGCCCAGGTTCAATGATTCTCTCTCATTGATGTTTCTATCTCTTCCTCTCCCTTCCTCTCTGAAATCAATAAAAATAAATTTTAAAAAATTTTAAAAAAAGAAGAATCTGCCCTGGCCAGTTGCTTAATGGTTAGAGCATCAGCCCGAGGACCGAAGGGTCAAGGGTTCAATTCCTGGTCAAGGGAACGTACCTAGGTTGTAGGCTTGATCTCCAGCATGTCAGGACATGTGAGGAAGGCAACCAATCGATGTATCTCTCTCATTCCGTTCTCTCTGTCTCTCCCTTCCTCCCCCTCTTTGCACTCTCTCTAAATTAAAAAATCAGTGGAAAAAATATCCTCAGGTGAAGATTAACAACAAAAAGAATCCCACAATACTTGAGCCTAGTAATCCTCACACTTCTCCTTAGCCTCTCGCCTCTAGGAATCACTGATGCAGCCCCTTTGCTGTGGGCCTTGATAGTATTTATGTAACAATTGCATCTTACTATTGTTAGCAGCACTAATGTATTTTACTCTTAAGTATCTGACCTATGCACTGCACCTGAGGTTACTTCTAGTGACCTTGGAGGTGGGCAAATATATACTAATTTGAGAATTATTGAGGATTGAGAAGATGTTCATCTCCATAATTCTAGAAAGGCTGGGGAAGGCAGACTGTCCAGTTGTGCTGCTTCCGAGGAACAGAAGAACTGGCTGGAGTGTGGGTTGGGTGTGGCAAGGAGGGTCAGGCTTGGGAGAGGCCGCGAAGCTTGGTCCGGCCCAGGGAATGCAGGTTGTTGAGCACCTTGCAGTGTGAGCCCCTCCATGACCCTCTCAGTAATCTCAGTACACTTAGCAAAAGCCAGGCTGAAGTAGATTTATTTTTCCACGATTGCAAAGAGAAACATAGCCAGCAAAGATGAGAAAAGACACTGAGAAGACCAGAGGGAATTAGGTTGGAACTCATTGATATAATACAGGTCCTGGATTCTTAACACATGACAGAATTGGGGGTTTGAGCCAAGTTTACCTAGAGATCCACAGCACAGTGAAGCCCCACATGATATCTGAGTTACAGATATTTACGCTTGATCAGTTCATACAATAAAAAGAAGTAGATTCAGACCATAGCTTTGCTTCTGGCGTGAAGGGACAAAAGCTATGAAGGTGTTTGAGTAATTTTGCCAAAAGCAAGCATTGCATGCTTGGGTATAAAGTATTTTAGCAGTCGGTTGGAATGAACTAAAGTTAAGCAGCTCGTCATCTTCGTATGAATGAATGAGAAGGTGCTAATTGTCTCTGGAAAAGGTTTGTAGGTAGGGGAGCGATAGGAAGCAAGGGACGTGTGCAATGCTGTATCAGTTATGTTCACACCAGCAGTTGCTGTAAGTGGCAAAAATACACAGGATTTATTCAGAACCCTTAGCTCTCTTTTTCGTTGTTAACCCCTCTTTTAGTATTTGGATTACAATGGGATAAGGAGCAGGCAGCTGTGTTAAAGCCCTGTGTAAGTGGAGGATGAGTCTGTACTTGTCACTTGTACATGGCAGCAGTAATTAGGAGGCCTGTGGGAGGCTCTTTTGTTCCTTTCACATATTTGTACCGAAGAAAACTTGAGAAAATCCAATTCTGGCTGGATCTTAAATACCTTTTATCCTTTCATGAAGTAATGGTAGCTTTAAAAATATATTAAAAATTACCTATCCTCGGACCAGGTGTCTTTTTGAAAAGCAAAGGAATACAAACGCTTATGTGAAGAATGAAGTGAAAATCAGTCCATGAAAAATTTGAGGAGATTTGCTTTGTTTTTAAGATTGAATGCTCTTTGGTTTCTCCTTCACTTTTGGAAATCTGGATTAGATGTAATTAAGTAACTGTTTGAAATGTGAAATAGGTATGTAAGTGCCTCCTCGTTTGTGGGTGCTCTTGCTAACATGCGAAAGTGCCTGTGCCACACAGCAGACATCACAGCCTCCACTTCTTGTCGCTGGTGATGCTCAGTCAGTCCTGCCACTTATTGAAAGGCACAGGGACAAGGGGGTGCAGATACTGAGGAGGTGGTAGCGGGGGAGGGGGGAAGCTTGTCCTGTACTCGCTTTATCTGAATCATTTATCCAGATAACAGTGCAATCACAAGCAGAATTATTTTTTAAAATACATGACCTGTACATTATATTTTTGGATAATCCAGTGACCTTAAAATCACCCACCTGTTATATAAGAAACTCTTAATAGTCGTTGCCTCTTGGGAGGGGAATTGGGGCCAGTGGTAGGAGGGAGATTTTGTTATCATTGTGTATCCACTTTGGGAACTTTGGGCATTTGTACCATGAATATTTATGTTCTATATTTTAAAAAAGAAAAGGAAAAAAGTCCCTCTAAGCATCCCATCTCCTGGCAGGATGCTTGGCTTCCCACCCTGGCGCCCACCCCCCCCCCCAGGCCCCCCCAGATCGTCTGTGATTTCCTCTGCAAACCCTTTCCCATCCCTCCCCCCAGTTTCTTTTACTTTTGAGAAAAACACTTTCTGAATTCATTGACTTTTCTGCTTCGTCTCTAATTTTGTACTCCCTGCCCCTTTCACGAATGTCACCGAAGATTTCTTACCGTGAAATGCAGTAACTTCCTCTGAAACCCTGTTTGACCTTTCTGGGTCATGGACTTGCTCTCTCCTCCCAGCCTTCCTGACCATTGCCTCCTGATCCATTTTGACCTCTCATCTCTGCTGTGACTCCACCTTTATTCACTCTGTACCGTTGTTCTGAGCAAGTTTTTTTAAAACTCTTTGGTGAAATCATCTATGTCAGCAGATTCGACCTCACTCCTCAGCTCTACGCCTGTATGTTTACTGGCCCACTAGGCATGTATAGTTCTCAATTCCGTGGGCACTTCAAAATCAAAATAGCCTGAACTTATTGTCCATTCCATCACCATCCAAATTCCCATTTTTCCCCACTTGCTGTATTTTATTACTTGGAGCACCCAAGCCAGAAACATGGGAATTATCCTAAATTTTCCCTCCACCTCACAAGGGTTTGGAGTTCCAGGTTGCCTTGCTGTAACATGCAAATATTGGCTCTGTTTTTATCACACCCTTTCATTTTTTCAAATAAACTCTAAATTGGGCCTCATTCCAGATGGACTTTGGAGAAATGTTATGCATATGAATGTTCTGTCCTTATTAAAAGTAGTGGGGACCATTTTAATTATTCCTCCACTTTGAGGATTGAGGATTTTGTTTATGAATCCATAGAACCTCATTCCAGGGGCATTTCTGCATTTGAGACATGAGCTTAGTTTTTATTTAAAACTAAGTTGGCAATTATATAACTTCACAGAGTTTATGATTTATTTATTTATTTATTTATTTATTTATTTTGCTACTTATGTTGTTGTATTTTGCTTGTATTTTGCTTGATTTCCTATTCAGTCATTAAAAAATAAATACAGTTAAGAACTGGATTTGTGAGCATCTCTTTTTTATTGGGAGTTGATTTGCCCACGGTCAGTATTTTTCCTGTTTTTGGTGCCCATTTGGGGCCGACAAGTTTGTGGTACTTCAGTGCCATCACCCTGGTTATCCATGGTCATGGGTGATGTACTAGTAGAAGTAGGTGATGGCACTAAGATTTATATGGACTTATATTTTGTAATTTTAATTAATTGAGATTTAAAGCAACCCTCCAAAAAATAGTTACAAAGAGATATTCTTTGTTTTATGTGTTAACAATAATTTGACTGTTTACTTGAATTTTTGTTACCTGTGGCTATCACCTGAAGAATGTATGGTCAGTGATTCACGTTCTCTCTCTTTTTTTCTCTCTCAGTGCAATGAAACTTCATTCTTTTTTGAAGCTCGGAGTAAAACTGCTTGCAAGCATCTTTGGAAGTGTAGTGTAGAACATCATACATTTTTTAGGTATGTTAATGTGAAAGTTTTATTGATTGTTCTAATAAATGAAAATTGCATTTGTTTTTATAACAAGAATTCTCTTCTATCTGCAGTAGAAATTTAGAAGTTTTTCTCTTTTATTTTTTTCAGTCACCTAATTCTCTTGATCACATTAATAGAAATAGATATATATGCACAGACATGCATACACACATACATGCACACATAGATATCTTCTTTGCTCACATTATAAGAAAAGGCCAAGGACAGTTTTTATTTGTTTATGTAAAAAGTACAGCTTTGGTATTCGTGGAAAGTAAGTGTTCTGCTGTGGACATACTAAATTTGAAATGCCTTTTAGTCATCTAAATGGGGACGTTGGATGTATAAGGCTTACTGGAAAGACCAAGGTTGGCCATGTAAATTTAGTTAGTATTTAAGCAAAGCTGACTGGATGAGGTCACCTTTGAGAAAAGTGAAGAGAGAGAAGCAGGAAGCCAAGGACTGGGCTGTGTGACCCTGCCAGCATTTAGAGGACTGGAAGAGCCAGCCATGGGTTATGAGAAGGAGTAACTGGAAAGTGTGTAAGGAAATGGAAGATGAAGGAGGAAAATGTCATGCTGAATAGGGAGCTGGCTACTCTGTTGCATGCTGTGCTCCTGGAAGGTCAAGTGGGGGTGGAGAATTGACCGTTGGATTGTGGGGATACTTTTTGTTTATTTCACATCTTTATGGTATAAAGATAACACTAAATTTTATCAGGTAATACATTCAGCTGTATTTGTGTTTTTAAATTTAAAACTAGATTCATTCTTCCCCTTACTCCTACGTGTATTTGGTTTGCATGGAGCAGTTTCCCCAAATAGCATGATATTGGAGACGTATTCTAATCAAATGACCAATGTCCTTTATTTAGCTTGTATTAGGGCAGGGATGTTTCCCAGAAAGCCTGAGACATTACCTCTCGGTCAGGGGCCTGGGTGGAACAGCTCCTCATGGAGGTGTCTGTTGAAGGTACCCTGGAGTGGGAAGTGCTGGACTATAGTACAAAGGAGACTGAGCCACTCCTCAGAGACGTTAACTGCTGTGAGGGCCTTGGCTTGAGTAAATCAACCTAGTGACAAAGTTCTCAAGATTATTTAAGCAGAGAAAGTAATATGATTTACAACTAAAGCTTCTAAGGGCAATGATGTCTTCAACATTATATAAATATATAAATTCCTAGAGTGTGTTTGTGTTTCAACAGTTAGCTTATAATATCATTATTATTTCCTGCCAATGTGTAGAACAAATAAGATATTTTGACTAGCTGTTAAGGTGTTGCATGATTATATTTTCTACGTAGCTTTTGCTCAAATGTTGCAAAAGTATCTGTATTTCTGAGTCTTAATTTAATTTTATTTTAAAAATTCATTAGAATGCCAGAAAATGAATCAAATTCAATGTCAAGAAAACTCAGCAAGTTTGGATCCATGAGTTATAAGCACCGGTATAGGTAAATATTTTTTTCCTTGGGGTGTGTATATGTAAATATATAAATATTTAATTCAGCTGTGCACATACAGGCACATTAAAGTTTTTTTTCTTATTTTTGTACAGTGCCAGTGAATTTTATTAGCATAATAGTTTATTAAAACTTTTTTGACAAAAATTATTTTCCAGGCTTAATTATATTTAATGTCTATATTAGCTCTGTTAAGTTTAGGACTTTTAGAATGTACTAGAGTTTATCTTCTGAAATGTATTTTGATGGACATATCACTTACTTGTAATTAAGTTGTGATTATGAGATAATAGATATTTTGAATAGTAGCTGATTGGTGTTCTTAGGACATTCAGTTGATCCCCTGTTGTAATACAATGTATACTTTATATTGTGGATCAAATCCTATTTTCTGCAGCATAAAGCCTACATGTAGTGAGGCTAGCAATTATATCTAAAATTTATTGAGCAGTATTAAGTGCCATGTATTGTGCTAAATGTTTTCCATTTATTATTTCATTTAATCATCACAGTCTTCTTAATATTACCCTCATTAATATGTGAGGAAACTAAGGCTCAGCAAGGCCAAGTCACTTCTCCAGGTGACCCAGCCAGAAGCAGTAGAGTGGGGTTCACACCCTGGCCGTCTAACTCCAGGGCCTGTGCTTCTGTCCATTCGGCAAAGTGTTAGCATGTTGCAGGAAAAGCCTGGTTGTGATTGTCCTGCAGCCAGGCAGGTGCTTGTGTCTTTTTCAAGTGCCAGTATTAAAAGTGGGAGCTTTCTATGTTTTTTTAAATATATTTTTATTTATTTTTTTTAAATATATATTTTTTTATTGATTTTAGGGAGGAAGGGAGAGGGAGAGAGAGATAGAAACATCAATGATGAGAGAGAATCATTGATTGGCTGCCTCCTGCAGCCACTGGGGATCAAGTCCGCAACCCGGGCATGTGCCCTTGACCGGAATCAAACCCGGGACCCTTCATCTGCAGGCCGACTCTCTAACCACTGAGCAAAACCAGCTAGGGCTGAAATATTTTTATTGATTTCAGAGAGGAAGGGAGAGGACGGGAGAGATAGAAACATCAATGATGAGAGAGAACCATTGATCGGCTGCCGCCTGCACGCCCCACACTGGAGATGGAGCCCACAACCTGGGCATCAAACTGTGACCTCCTGGCTCATAGGTCAACGCTCAACCACTGAGCCACGCCGGCCGGGCAGCTTTCTATGTTTTGAAAAAGAATTTGTTTTGTTTCAACTCCTTCTGTTAATAGAGAGTGTGTGAGGTGCAACACATGGTATTGGGTGCCTTAGAGATGCAAAGATTCAGATCTTAGCACCTCTGCCTTCAGAGAGCTACATCATTCCGGCAGTGAGGCTGGTCTGAGACCCTGTAAAACCCAAGCAGAGTGCAGAAATGCTGCTCAGGAGGTGTGACACTGTTCTGTCAGCCCCACTGGAGACATCACTGAATGAAATGCTTACCTAGGAGACTTAAAAGTAGAGCCAAGCTCTGGCCAGGTGGCTAAGTTGGCTGGAGCATTGTCCTGTGCACTGACAGGTTGCAGGATCGATTCGTGGTCAGGGCACATACCTACATTGCAGGTTCTATCCCTAGTCGGGATGCATATGAAAGGTAACTGGTTGATGTTTCTCTCTCCCTCTGTCTCCTTTTCTCTTTCTCTAAAAAATCAATAAAAGTATATCCTCCGGTGAGGATTAAAAATAAATAAATAAATAAAGCCAAGTCAAGTGTTTGTAGGACAATGGTATGCCAGATTTTAATTCCTCTCTCTCTTTTTTTGTTTTGTTTTGCTTTGTTAATCCTCACCTGAGGATATTTTTTCTATTGCTTTTCAGAGAGAGTGGAAGGGAGGGGGAGAGAAAAGAGAGAGAGAGAGGAACATAGATGTGAAGGGGGTACATCAATTGGTTGCCTCCCACACTTGCCCCAATCGGGGACAGGGATTGAACCCACAACCCTGGTACATGCCCTTGACGGGGAATTGAACATGAGACCCTCTGGTGTGTGGGCTGGCGCTCTAACCACTGAGCCACCAGCCAGGGCTAATTCCTCTTTTATAACCCACATGTTTGGCCTTGAAGTTGAAACCAGAGATAATTAATAACAGAGTGATTAATAGTAAATGTTCACTGCATTCATTGTTACACATTATGCATTTGCATATTTGCTCATTTGATGACATATAAAACCTAAGTAATTATAAATGTTCTCGCTACTTGGTGTTCACTGATAACTAAAAATTTAACCTTTTGTTTATCAAGGTTCTTTCTCAGACAGTGATATAATTATCAGGAATTTAAGGGAAGAGTACCTACTTTATGTTGAGGTGAACAGCTAATAGTCACCATTTGGGCTGTTCTTCCATTTAGAGCGTAAAACACAGAGAAAATGTGTAACTCTATCTCTGTGTTCCTATTATTAAAATTGCAATTATGCTGCTTAACATATGCTGTAGTTAGTTTCCACAAATTTACTAATACCTGATTTCTCAAATTTATTGAAATGCAAATGTTGTGGCTACTGGGAATTATTATTATTGGATTTTGCATATTAAATATCATTTCTTCCAAGAAAGTAATTAAAGGTAACCTTTGCAGAACTGGAAGCTCTGCTAAATCTGTTCTAATTTGGTGGCTGGTCTTAACTGCCTAGTCAGTTTTAATGAAACCCAAATCTCCGCCTCTGTCTGTAGGAAGCAGAATGTTACTCCATCCCTGGAAGAAATGTGTTTCATCCCACTGCCCAGAGCTGGTCATGGGCAGGGATGGGTCTCGGACTGCTGGGTGGTCTCCAGCACCTGGACTGTTAATTGTCAAAACAGGAAAAATACCCAGCCTTTAACAGACATCATATGCCTGCTTCTCTCTTGAGATGTTCTGTAGACCTCATGGAATGAAGGCAGTGCTCTGGAAACAGCCCCTTCCTTTACCCGGCAGGCTTTTAGAGCGTGAGGGATAAAGAGCAGCATAAATGCTGCAGGGTGCGAATGCAGGTGTGTCTGCATTTGTGTGTATAATTATGTGTAGACGTTTACAGTGGTGCGTCTGTAGGTGTATGTGATGTAGGAAGACAGAGTTCTAGTCTGGATCCCTTTCTTGCATCTTCGGGCATGCTGAATATCAATGAGATTTCAATATTTTTTAGAAAAATTAGTCATTACTTAGGAAGGGGGAAATATTACACATTTTTAGTGATGTGTGACAGTCAACCAAAATTCCAGATTTTGTGGGGGAAATCTGAGCTGAAATCCAACAATCTAATTCCTTTGTTTTATTATCAGAGATCAATAATCTGAAATAGAACTTGATCGAATCTTTGATTAAAATATTTTGTTATACACTGATATTTCTTTCCCTGAACCCCTTAGAAATTAACTTTGCATTTACCTGTTGTTAAGTTAGTAGGGGACTCCTTGTTTTGATGAATAAGTTGTGTAGAATTTATATTCCAGTAATGAGAATTGGGCCTGAGAAATACCCCTGGGGAACCCAGATGACCTTCTTGTAGGACTTAAATCTCATGAACTTTCCACATTTCGTTTTTTTTAAATGTGTATTTATAGATTTTAAAGAAAGAGGAAGAGAGAAGGAGAAGGAGAGATACATGAATTGGTTGCCTCCAGCACACACCCTGACCTGGGATAGAACTCATAACCTGGGCACGTGCCCTGACTGGGACTCTAACTGGCAACCTTTCGGTGCATGGGATGATGCTCAACCAACTGAGCCACACTGGCCAGGGCTCCACATTTCTTAAAGCCTGAAAGAGAGAACAGATTCTCATGAGAGCCTCCTTTGTGTCAGGTGCTTGCACAGGTGTCACTTTATTTAATCACATAAAGTAAATATGGGATGGGTTCAGTGACCCGCCAAAGGAGGTTTCTCTTCATTTATACAGATGAGAAATTTGAGCCCCAAGCCCCAGAGTAAACTAACTGAACTAAAGGCCTTTATCAGTAAGTGGCAAAGCTGGGATTTGAACCCAGGTGTCTCTGTTCTTGTTCTCTTTCCTCTACCCCTCACTTTGGGGCTGCAGGGCCACTCAGCATAGAATGGGAGTGTGTATGCCAGAGTGTGAGGAGGAAGGGAGTGGGTGGTCATGGGAATAAATCTCTGCACTGTCTCTACAAAGAGCCACCATTTATCAAATACTGTCTGCTACAAGGAAATAGTAAGAATGCTGCACAATAATATTTCCACTCGGAAATAGTAAGAATAAGTAAACATATATTATCAATGTTGAAAATAAGGCTCTAGGAGATTTGAACAATAACCTGTTGAAGATCATACAGTTGAGACAGAGCTATGCTTGCAACTGCAGACCAATGGCTTAGTGTTCTCTTCCTCCTCCCACTGCCCGGCTGTGCCATGCTGACCAGCTGGAGGTCAGGAAACTTGTTCTAGTCTTAGGTCCTGTACAGCTGGTGGCAGATCAGGGTATGGTTCTGGACCATAGTTTTATTAATCTTGTGATATGATTTTGTCATGTCTCCATTATTCCTGAGAGAAAACGTGTGTGGAAAAATTGAATAAGTAAAATCTCATTATAAAATGTCTCAGGGGTCCACATGATGGGTTATATTTTTAGGGCAAATATTTTTTCTTCTATGCGATAAAGTACACAGTACCCAAGTCTTATAGCAGGGAAAGTCTGTTGGAAGTAGGTCTTATCTTCACACTCCATACTACTTGTAATAATGGAATTTTGCTCTCTATAGGGATTTTTGTTTTTAACTTTCCAGGAGAGAGATATTGCTGTTTGTGTTAGTGACCTTATTTACTACCTTAAAAAAAATAGTTAAATTTCAAGTGAAAAAAACCCAGCCTGTCACAGTTTGCTCCCCTCTCTCACCCCAGTTCTCATGAAGTATTGAACACTAGTACACTCATAGGTGGACCCCGGCATCTTCATTCATGTTACCTCATATCAAGTTGTGTCCCCAATTATCCTGATGATAAGCCTCTTTTTATGGTTGTTTCAAGCATTAAAAAAAAAAAAAATCTAATAAAGGTGGATGGGGTAGTGAGGAGGGGAAACTCACAGAAGCATGTAGGAGGTAAATTTTGCTCTATAAGTCTCATTTGGGAGAGATTCACCGATATTTGTTCTGTAAATGTAGGATGAATAGGATTTGGGGCCATTAAAAAGCTTTCTGGCTCTTCTTGAGGTGAATCAAACTAGATAAAAAGAAATGCATTTTTCCTTGTCCCTAATGATATTTTCCTTGTACCTAAATGAAATTTTCACCTAAAATATTTAGGTGAAAGCCGGGGTCATTTATTGCCTCAAATTCAGCAGCCGTGGGATGAATTTTCAGTAGGATGAATGTTCACTGAAACCCAGCGAATGAAATTACACATTTCTCAGAGATTATTCCATCCCCAGAGAAAGCTCAGCCTCCTGAATCCTCACAGCACTTCAGGGAAACAGCACTGTGCGTGGGGTTTCAGGCCTGTTTTAAATCTTCCTGGGCACCTGATCTAGTGCAGGTGGGGCGAGCATAATAAAAGGTTGATGTGCCCTAACCGGTTTGGCTCAGTGGATAGAGCGCCGACCTGCAGACTGAAAGGTCCCGGGTTCGATTCTGGTCAAGGGCATGTACCTTGGTTGTGGGCACATCCCCAGTGGGGGGTGTGCAGGAGGCAGCTGATGGATGTTTCTCTCTCATCGATGTTTCTAACTCTCCCTCTCCCTTTCTCTCTGTAAAAATTCAATAAAATATATATTTAAAAAAAAAAAAAAAAAGGTTGATTGTGCCATAGCAGGGTGGAGAGTAGGCACACAGTGGTCCTGAGGGGATGCTGTACAACTTGCCATGGGGTGATGCCGATTCACGTAGAGTCATTGCCCTTATGCAATTCAGCCCAACATAATTTCTTCATCGTTTTGTTGTAGAGTCGGAAGGCGATCAGAATTCTCTATTGCTAGCCCATCATTCTGCTAAATCTAAACCTTAGTCCTCCTTTAATAAACCCCCATTTCCTGTTTCTTCTCCTAAAACACATTCCTTCTATCTAACCTAAATGTTTCCTATTAGAATTTAATACTACTTCCTTGGTTAATATTGCAATATGAATCAGTTGGGAACCTTTGTATGCTTACAGCTCCTGTGAGTGTGTGTTTTTTCTTCTTTCCATACTTTGCAGATATTCTGAATGAGCTGTTGTTTACTTTTGTGCTGTGTGGTTTTATTTGTGTTAATCAAATTGTTGCATTTTCAAGTGGCAGGACAGCATTGCAAATGAGTCGAGATCTTTCTATTCAACTTCCCCGGCCAGATCAGAATGTGGCAAGAAGCCGAAGCAAGACTTACCCTAAGAGAATAGCACAGACACAGCCAGCTGGTAAGTCATGGATGTAAACGTGCATTTCCTTTTAGGCTGGTGGTGTAAGATATACTCAGGTGGTGACTATAGCCCAATAGTTCTTTTATTGTTAACTAGAGGCCCGATGCACGAAGATTCGTGCAAGAATGGGCCTTCCTTCCCCTGGCTGCCGGCACTGCCTTCCCTCCAGCCCAGAGCCACCTTTCCACCTTCCCACACTGCCCAGAGGCCCGGAGCAGCTGGGGCGGTGCGGAATGCCTGCATCGTCGCCATGGCAACGACACAAGCGTCCCACCCCGCCCCCCAGCCGCTCAGTGCCTGTGTATGCATATTAACCCGCCATCTTTGTGGGTTAATTTGCATACTCCTGATTGGCTGGTGAGCATCATGAAAGTATGGTCAATTTGCATCTTTCTCTTTTATTAGTGTAGATACTGGAATTTTTAATTTGACCCTGAAAATATCTAAGCAGTCAGAAATTACTAATAAGTAGACAAGTAGTTAACTTGAGTCACCATAACCTGCCTAATGACTATACTTGATTTTTGAAGAGATTAAAGTCTCAACCGAGTAATTTCCTGGTTTGGTGTGTCTGAGATTGGAATTGAAGCAAACTTTTAGAAAAAGTATTTATATACACACACACAATTTATACAGAATTCAGTAGATTTTTTGTTATTGTTGGTTTTTATTGTGAAAAATAATATACATATAGAAAATGTATGAAATATACATATATATGCACATACACACAAAAAAATTTAACATAGCCTTCAAGCCAAGAAGTCCCTTTTATTTATCTGTTCACATCTTTACCATCCCCTTCTTTCCCAACCAGAAAAAAGACACCATCTGACTTTGTAATCATTATTTCCTTACTTTTTGTTAGAATTTTACTGCTTATATAGGTTTCTCTGAGCAAACTAACTTATTATGTCTATTTTTAACATTAGATGAATGAATCATGGTCTCTGTTTTTTTTTTTTGTCTTGCTTCTTTCTATAAATGTTATGTGTAGTATATACTAAATGTATTCATTTTTCATGCTGTGAATATTCTATTTATCACAATTTTGTTTATCCATTCTACTACTGATGGACATTTGGATTACTAATATTATTTGTTTTTAATGTAGACTACTTTAATGAAACCACTTAATCAATCAGTTTTAATCTCTGTTTGGTGTTCAGAGCTCATAGAATTTTACTGACTTGGTTGTGGCTTGTTTATAGATCACCCTTGTCTGACACTCTCCACAGACTTTTCACATATATTATCTCACTTGTGCCTCACAATAACCCTGTGAGGTAGGGCAAGACCCAGAGTATGTGCCCATTTTGCAGAGCAGGGAGAGATGGCTCAGCCGCTAGATAGGGGTGGGGCTGGCATGAAAACCCAGGTCTCCTGGATCATTTTGCTATGTAGTATTGTGTGAAGTGAATGGCATCTTTTTAAATGTTTTTATTGATTTCAGAGAGAGAGGAAGGGAGAGAGAGATAGAAACGTCAATGATAAGAGAGAATTATTGATTAGCTACCTCCTGTACGTCCCCCACTGGGCATTGAGCTCGAAACCTACAACCCAGGCATGTTCCCTGCTTGGGAATTGAACCGTGACCTCCTGGTTGATAGGTTGACACTCAACTCCTGAGGAACACCGGTTGGGCAAGTGAATGGAATTTTTACTCACAGTAATTAACCTCCAAACATTGCATGGCCATTTACATAGCATACAACATCCATTGTTTCATTTAACTCTCATGCCAGGGATATAAAGAAAGTGTTTGAGTTTTCTCCACTGCTGTTGGTTGTGAGAATGTCATGTGACTTATTGTTTCTAAAGCCAAATTAAATCTGATTGTAGGTTCCTTCCTCGCACTAGGCTGGGAGGAAATGAAATTCTTTCTGATGGGTCCTCAGTGGCAAAAATTAGACGTGATTTAATTTTGCAACAGATTACCTTGCCACATAAGTATTATCATTATCCCCATTTGGGTGATGAGCAAACTGCGATTTAAAAAGGTAATTTGGCCAAGATTACTTAATAAGTACGTAGCTTAGGACAAAAATTATAGCCTTAATATTTAATGTCTTTATCTTCATCTTTTGTATTTACTTTTGTATACGAGAAGCCTTAAATCCCATTTAGATCAAGTTCAGTGTGGTATAATCAGTAAGCAAACTTTCAAATCTTGTGCTATTTCTGAAACGTCATGCCTCATGAAATTATTCCGAGACCCACTGAGAATATAAAAACATTCCTTGCTTTAAATCAACATTTCATTCCTCTTGAGATGCAGGAAGCATCGCACATGCTTTTTTATAAACCTGTGCAGGTTGCTTCTTTTCTTCTCGTATGTTCTTATAGAAATATCTGCCAATGTAACTCTCTCTCTCTCTCTCTCTCTCTCTCTCTCTCTCTCTCTCTCTCTTTTCGGAAGCCTTTCGGAAGCCCAAATTCTAGAAGCTGATTAATTTAGGGACAGGGGTTTGGGTTTTCTCATGGCTTATGCAGATCCAGTGAAATGCAGTTTTCACAGAGCCACCTGGGACTGTATTGAGCCCTCACATCTACCTTCCACCTCGGGTCCCACCGCCATGTGTCCTATTAACGTGGCTAACGCATGGCCCAGGTCCTCTAGGACAGCCTCTCAGCATCAGGTGGCTCTTTTAAAACTGGAGCACATGTTATGCTTTGATTATTATAAAAATACATTCTTGCTTTGGAAAATTTGGGAAACTTGGAACCTTCCCATCTATAAAGTTTAAAAATGTTATATTCAATTCCATTCTCCTAGTACAAACACTATATTATATAGCCTCTAGTCATTTGTATATCTTTTCTGTAAAAGTTATATAGTAATATTTTACAACTTACTTTTCTTATCTAATATATTATGGATATGTTCTAATAAGTTTTTTAATGTTGTTATACAGCCCCATTTTAAGAGCTGCATATTTTCTCCTGCATAGATGTATAATGGACTTGACATAATTTATTCAGCCAATTTTTAGTTCTTGGATATTGAGGCTATTTCAAATTTAGGAGACTATAAATGTAACTAAAGTGAATGTTCTTGTAGTAATATCATTAAGCATTCATGCTAATTTATTATATACTAGAGGCCCGGTGCACGAAATTCGTGCATGGGTGCAGTCCCTAAGCCTGGCTGGCGATTGACGCACGAGCGTCTGGCATGGAAGGGCAGGTCCCAGCTGACCTCTGGCCCTGGGCAGCACCTGGGCTGCCGGGCCCCCGTGCCCCCCCCTCTGCCTGAGTAATGGTGCCCAAGTCCCCATGCAAAGATGCGGTGAGCGCGGCCAGATGCCGCAGGCCGGGGCACAGCATGGGCCTCTGGGCCGCCCAGTGGCGCCACACGGAAGCCGAGTGGGCAGCGTACTCTCTCCTGGCCAACCTCACAGACTGGCTCCTGCACAAACCCATGGGGAGCCCGACCGGCCCCTGTGGTCCCAGCATCTGCGGCCCAGCTCACTTGGAAAAGGCCTCGCGGGTGCAGGACAGGCTCCTTTGCGGGTGCCTGGCACCTGAGTGTGAGGGCTTCCCTGGCGCATGAGCCCTGGTGTCCCAGGGGGAGGATAGCAAGGGGAGTGAGAACGAGCTTCAGTGGGATACCCCGCATCTCACCGCACCTCTGTCCCCGTCACCTCCACCCCCAGGTAGCCGGTAGAGGTCGTAGCCCCCAGCCTGGGCACCTTGGGAGGTTGGCTGCCGCCACCCACCTCTAGTTCCCCATCCCAGGGCCTGCCAACTGGGGGGAGGGACCCAGGAGGTTGGCCACCGGCCCTGAGGAGGAAGCTGGCACTCGGCCCCCCTGGGAAAGGGGCCATGTGTGCCGCCACCTACCCCTGGTTCCCCATCCCAGCCAGAGGCCCCGCCCCGATCAGGCGATGGGGGCCTGCTGGCTGGCAAGAGGGACCGGGAGGTTGGCCGGCAGGCCCAATCCAGTGATTGGGGCCTGCGGGCCAGGGGCAGCTCCTACATTGAGCATCTGCCTCCTGGTGGTCAGTGCACATCATAGCGACTGGTCATTCCAGCCGTTCTGGTCTTAACGGTCACTTAGGCTTTTATATGTATAGATATCTTAAACCAGCAGTCGCCAACCTTTCAGACCTCACAGACCACCAGTGAGGTCCGTGGACCATCAGTTGGTGACCGCTGTCTTAAACAATGGTATATTTTCATCTTTAAAAGGATTAGATAATGCTGTGTTTAAAAACTAAGATTTTCTGTGTGTATATTTCACTTTGAATTGAATTACTTTTAGCCTAACTTTTCAGGTCTGTGTTCCACAAAATTGTGATGTGTTTTGGGGACCCAGAGAGAACCTCCCCTTGACAGTGCGTGATTGGGTGGGGATGGATCATTTAGCAGATGTCAATGATGCAGTGTTATGGTTGCTGTCACGTATATATGGAGGATGTTGTGAAGGATGGATAAATGTTATTCTGTTTCTTTAAATGTCACATTTTCTCTTTCCTCGAATTCACATGTACTCTGCTCTGAGCCTCATTTGAATCCAGCTGGCAGAAACCCAACCTCAGCCATCTCCTACTCCTCAGGTCATGGTTGGGTTCTAACTTGGAGCAGAATATTTGAAGGGGGCCCTCTTGTCTTCAACTATGTCAGTCACCACTGTGCTCCTTGTCCCAGCCCACCAGGCCCCATGAGGGTGGGCAGTTCTGTGTGAAGCTGGGACACTGTGGGGGGAAGAAAAGGGTTCTTTGGTGAGCCTCTCAGCTTAGGCTTGTCAACCATTGGCTGTTGGTGCCAACTCAGTGTTTACAGGAATCCCCAACTTGGGGTGCAGTAAGAAGGAACCTGCAAATAGCTCAATTATGATACAGCACGGCTGTGGAATAGCTCAATACTGTTATATATAGCTCAATTATGAAACAGCTTGGCTGTGCAACAGCCCATCTCTGAGGTAGATACCTTCGGTGTTTCAGCTCCAGCCTGGGAAATGCAGTCTCTAGTCTTCAGTGAAAAGGGAAAGTGCC